TGGAACGAGCCGAGCTTTTCAGCCGAGGCGAGAGCATCGTCTCGCGAGGCTCGAGTCGCAGGACGCACGCACAGGACGCACCGCAGGACGCGATCTCGAGCGAATCGGGTGATCATGTAATGATCGCACCTGGCTGGCGAGCTCTTGTTCGCCAGAAGCTCGGCTCGATGACGGGACGCTCCGGCTGAGCGGCATGCGACGGCAGTTTCCGCGGCGGTAATCTTCCTCGCCGGACGATCCACGAGCAGGCGAGACAAGAGGGATTCAACGCTGCGTCTTCAATTTGCGGACGTCGAAGAAAGCCTGGCCGGCGCGAAAGAATTTTCATTACGTAATCACGGCGAATCATCGTTCGACGCTACCGCCGCGCCGCGCGCTTCCTCGCTTCCGGCTCGAATGACCTTGACACCTGTTGCCCCGGGAACAGGTTGCGACCTCGCACGTTTGATTAGTCGCGGGATTCGGTGTCTCGCTATTGACGAGCTAACGACGCTTCAAAGACGTTGAGCCTCAGTTGAATTCTTCGTCAGATAAAACAACATATCAACGAATCGCAAATCGATCCGGATTATCGGCAGATTATCAGTTCTGCGAAAAGTCGAGCGAAAGAGAACTGATGAAGAAAGGAAGAGATCGATTTTCCGAGAAATCGAGCCGAGATCGCTGGCGAATCCCGCCGCAGAAGCCGGACCGAGACGGCCCGCTTTTCCCCGGGGGAAATCGGCGTCGTTGCGCATTGTTCCTTGCTTCACGGCGAATCGGCGCGCCGCGGCCGTGCCGATGCAAATGCCACGCTCGGCTTTCTCGTTTTCTGCCGGCGAGTTATCCCGGCGAATCGCTTATTTATTGGTCTCGCAAAGGAGGCACGACACGCGGCCTCGGCGGCAGCCGCTTGGCCCCGAAGAGGCCGACACGCGGCTCTTTCACGACGGCTTCGCCGTTTCTGGTAATAGCCGAGTGTGCGTCGCCCAGGGAACGTGTAATTCCCTCTTCGTGGGGCGGCAGAAGCTACCTAAAGACCCGCGGCTCTGCCTACGACCGGAGAGCGATAATTCGCGACGATCTCGCCAGGTAAAAACGTCGGACGACGAGCGAGAGTACCCTCCGTTTCATTCGACAAGCGCGACTTCGAGCGCGACAGGGGAGACCTCCTTCGCGACTCACGACTCAG